ACACGATTATATCTATATGTGAAATGAATAAAGAGAAGAATTCGTCATGAAGTTTCTTGTCTTTATTAAGTTCATAAGAAAGACAGACAATGGATCGAGGTCTAGAAAGGTCACACAAGTACCCGATGTACGAAAGAGAAACAAGATATGAACGGAAGAGAAAGAAAGAGATATACGAGAGGGAAAGATATATATATATATATATACGAGTGAACAGAAAGGACTATATGAAAGTAAAAGATATAACCATGTAACACAAGTTTAGTATATTCTCCTCAACCAGCAGCATTTTTAGCTTTAACACGAAATTCATATGATTTTCCTGTTGAGAGATTATCAATTGTAAACTCATTTCATTTAATTGAATAATCATTTGCAATTTCCCATACATCACTATCTGGTTTACGTATTTCAACTTGATCAGCAGTTATTTTTGAGCCACCATCATTTTTAGGTTTATTCCATTTTAATGTAATTGAATTTTCTGTTTGTTTACCAACTTCAACATTAGCTGGACATTGTGATGCATCTAAACATAATCGACAGGAAAAGATATTTTTATCGATTAAATTTTGTTTCAATAAAGACTTACCATAGGGATTTTTTGCAATAATTGGTTTTTCACATTCTAATGATATACTTTGTCCATAAAGATTTTCAGCCGAAAAACGAAATTTATATTCTGAACCTTCATCAAGTCCACTGACTTCATAAAATGGTGAGCGCAAAAAACTTGATTCTTTTTGCCATTCACCTTTTTTCGTATCAAATGTTTCAATGATATAATTAGTTATTGGTGAACCACCATCAGTTTTTGGTGGTTTCCATGTCAATAAACATGAATCAGGTTTTATATCAGAAATATTTAATGGTCCTTCGAGTGTATCTAAAATCCAAATAAAATAGTAGAATTTAATTTTTGAAAATAATTGAACTAACCTGGTTTATCAACAACAATAACTTTCATTTGAACAGTTTCTTGTCCAAGATAATTTTTTAAAGTACATGAATATAAATCAGTATCACCACCTTTTACCT